GGGGGGGGGGGGGGGGGGTACACATGCATACATGTGCTCAGCCCTGCCAAATAATTTTTCCTCCCTCTGCCTATGCCTCTAGGATACCTCCCCAAGGGTGGCTGGTGCCAGCAGCCTTGATGAGGCTACTGCCCCAAGTCAAGCAGCTAACAATAGCTCTGGACCAGCTGCTGCCCTGAGTGGGGTTTGCTGCTATTAGCCGTGGCCTAGCGTTTGCCCCAAGTGTTTTTGCTGCTGGTAGCACTGGCTCAGTGTGGGAGATTGAAGGCTGGGGAGAGGATCCCTCAAGCTGCTGCATCCATATGAGGAAGTGCTCAGGGAAACCATGCTACTCTGTTGGCCGTGATGTGGGACCTGCAGGGAGGGGTGTTGGAGGATGGTACATTGGACACTGGGATGTGACAGGACCTGCCCTGAGGGTGGACATGGTGCCCTGTAGTTGCCGAAGCAACCCTGTCCAGCTCTTCAGAGTATCCCCTTTTGCTATCTTTCCTGCCACACCTAGATGTAAATATTTTAGCACTTAGGAAGGCTACTTCAGAGTCTTAGAGTACTCCTACTGGTGCCATCTGTAGTTTTATTTCACTTACTCGGCCAGGCCCTGGGTCCTTCTTGTCACTAGACTGTCAGTCCACTAACAATTTTTTTCTACTTCTGGTTCACACTATTCATGCTTTACTGGCACTCAGGTGGCCCTCTGTGAATGGATCAGGGTCCAGGGTCTTAATTACTTTAGGGCACTAATCATGGCCTTCTTGGCTTTAATTGTGCCTTAAGCACTTTAATTGTAGCCTCCAGGCTCCCCCATAGCCAGCCCACACCTTGTAGGTGTCACTCCAGATTTGTTGCTCCAGGCCCTCTAGCTCTTTCTGCCTGTTAATTCACCAGGCCCCTACCCTAGCCTTGGCTTTGACTCTGGCAAGGTTCAGTCTACTTCCCTGAGCCCCTCATCCTGTCTAGGTTAATTTCTCATTTATCTGCCCACCAGGCCCTGGGCTTTCTCAGCCTTAATCTGTCTCTGGGCCCTTGGTTCTATTCTGTCTTTAGCCTTTCTGAGGCTTTAGCCTTTGCAGCCTCCACCTGCATCCAGGCTCCTGGCCCTGATTTGTTTGGCATCCTCTCCTGGGCTCCAGCTTCTTAGGCCAAAGCCAAGAGGCCTGCATATCTCTAGTCCTCTGCTCTCTGGGTCCCTGACTCCAGGCTAGGTTGCTATAGTAGAGTTCCCCAACAGGCACCCTCTGCTATGGTCTTCATCCTTCCCTACAGCCACAATCCAGCCCTCCAGTCAAACTTAAACACTAACATCAACACACCAGTCTTTAACATAATCTTGTATCCCAACCTAAATCCACCAGTCTCTATTCACTGCAAACCCCTCTCTAGGTTTCAGCTTCCCTGCTGTCAATTGCTCCTCTCCTTCAGGGGATCAAGACCAGACCACCTATCCTGGCTCAGGGCTGAGCTTATGAGTGCTACTCATTTCTGGTCACATGGCCCCTCTTAGCTTTCTTGCTGCCTGGGTGTCCCCCTTTAGCTCAGTGAGCTTCCTGCTCCTCTGCTGGACCTGGCATAGCTGTGCTGCTTACTCAGTAGCTCAGCAGGCCCCTTGGAATTCAGATTTCACTTGTTGCTTTCCCTATTAAAGTAACAGAAGCTTTGGCCTATTGTTACAGAGGGTAAACAATAGCAAGGTGTTGGTGGCCCAGGGGCTGTGGAGGTGGACCACGTGATGAAGCGATACAGAGAATGGTCTTTGCCTACTGAAGATAGCCAAAGCAGCCTGTTGAGTCTCTCCTGCCTGAGGCGCAAGTACTAAAGGACTGCACAGTAAGCAGTGACTGGAGTTACTGCTCAGTAGTGTCACCGAACAGCTTTTAGGGGACGCTGACTGCACAGTAGCTCATTACTACTGCTTAGTAGCGTTACATCATGCTTCATGCCATGCGATGCTACTGAGCAGTAGTAACAAGCTACTGTGCAGCCAGCATCTTGTGTAGACACAGCCACTGTGTACTAGCAGATGGCTTCTTTCATCTGGAAGGGTCAAGGAGAGCAGGAAGAGGGTTTGGGATGCTTGTGGTCTTGGGTGCAATGTTTGTGCACATGGCCTGCACGTGCATTGTTTGTGTTTCCCTGTCCCCTGGGCTGTTGAGGCAGGAATCTCAGAGTCAGAGGGGTAGGCGATCTGAAAGCTTGTAAATGAAATGATGCCTTCTAGACTCTCCCTCCCTGCACTAACTCATTACCATCACACAGTAATGAAGTGCCTCTAATTGCCGGGGAATTCCAAGGGCGCCACTATGGAAGGAGCAGTAATTCTCACAATGATGTTGTGAATTGGCCCCCTTATGCCTCATCTCAATTACCCCCTCCATCTACACACTATATTCTGGAAAAGTTTGGGTGGGAGGGGGAGAAGGGGCATGAATCCAGGGTACCCAGAGGTGGTAAATACTTAGGTACGGACAGACACAGCAGGGGACCCTGGGAGCCAGTGTTGGCCCCACCCCAAACAGAAACAGAACAGGCCATTCACTTTGATTGCTGCATCCTCCACCCTCAGGCCTGCCAGTGTTCACCTAACCCCTGCCCCTGTGGTGGGCTTCCACTCAAAATCCCTCCATGCACATACAGCTAGGTGCTGTGTGACTGCCTGTATCAGGACCAGGCCTCAGGGATGCTTTACTGATTCTAGGTACCCTCTCTTTCACTTTCAACTACCATGCCTTGACGTAATCATTAGATTGTTAAAGAAGAGCTGTCTAAGGGTCCTAGAACATACCCTTGTCCTTCCTTCACCAACTGCTCCCCTCCTGGACCCCACTAGCCCAGACCTGGTCCATAGTAGATGGGCCCTCCTGGCCCCTATGTGCCCCAGGGTACTTGTTGCCTTATGGGCTTTTCATGGCCTCCAGCATCCCTTACAGCTGTGACCATGCCTTGCAGGTTTTACTTGATACCATTCAGTCCTTTATAAGAAGCCTCAAGCTTCCCAATTTCCACCTCCCTTTTCTCTGGCTGTCAGCCTTCAGCCCTGGCCCACATTCAGGTCTAGCTCTCTCAGCTTCAGCCCCATCAGTTGTCAGTCTCTCTGGGGCCCTGGCCCTAGAATTTGTCCTGGGCAGCTGGGCCTCTGACTCTGGTTCTTGCCCCTCTCAGGTTAGAAAAGTTATTAGAATATGCTGTCTATAAACATAGGGTATAGATTGGAGGGAAAATGAGAAACATTCAAGAAGACCTAAAAAGCTAATGAGAATCTGTGCTCATTTGTGGGATAGCTAGATGGGCATTGAAATAAATGTCTGTTCTTCTGCTTTTGGGGTGTGACATTCAAGGGTCACACTGTAGCTTTGTCTCATGGCATTTTTTTCTTTCTTTTTTTTTTTTTGATTGAGTGGTTATAATTAAAGGAATAGTACCCATATCTTAATTCTGAGTCTAAGCTTGCAAAACAGGCCCTGATCATACATGAGCTGCAGTCTTGTCTCTCTAGAGGCCAAATGGTAATGAATTTTTAGTAACATCAAGGGGATGGGATCCTGAGATGGCACTGATGGATGGATGAGTCTCACCAGAGCTCTACCATGGGGAGGAGTGATAAACTTCGGTTCTTTGTTCTTGTACAAGAATGGAGACTCCATGAAGTTTTTCCCGCTTCTCCTGTGCTCACTTTTGTGCCACTGGAGTCCCTGGATGAGAGGTGTCTTCCCCCTCTGCCTCAATGGAGGCATCAGAGTCATTGTCAGCTTGGGCCCAACCATCAGTGTCAGGCAAATAGGGGCTGCTGTGGAGTCACCCCCCCCCCCCCAAGAGGATGTGAGAACTGCCTATGGTAGGTGGTCATCACCTTGTGGGCACTGAAGATCCAGTTAGCATCTGTAGCCCTCTCATAGCCTGCCTTCAAGACCTGTATCTTTAAGTGGCACTGTTGCCAGTCCCAGCTGTGGCCCATAGCTACCACAGGACTGTTGTCATGGTCAAACTGGGACTGCAAATCACTGTAATTCAGATATGTTGTGGTGAGCCTAGGGTTTTGCTTTATCATTCAACCCTGAATCTGGCCCTGCATCAAAATTAGTGTCATAGGTAGGAGTGCAAATGTGATAAAACAAGTTTGTATAACACTAAGTTTTAAGATAAACTATTACTTATTCTTTCAGCACATGGCAAGAAACCCAATGTGCGCATCTAATAAGAGACTACCACAAACATACTGGCCTAACAAAAGAATTTACACCAACACTGGATTGATACCTTTCTACACTGGCTTTGTACCAAGTAAGTTTGTCAGGTTTGACATGAATCACTGATGGTAATAGCCATGGTAATCATAGGAGGCATAATAGAGGATGATGATCAACTGCCCAGTAATTGTCAGTTTTACAGGTCTTGCTAAAAAAAGAAAGATTGGAAGGCATTAGCATTGCAAATATTGAAGGAGAACTCCTCCCATGCCTGAAAGGCAGTGTGGAAGTAAGCACTAAGGTGTTTGAAAATTCAGCAAATGAGTTATTACCTGTTATATCCTTGGCTGAAAAATCAGGAGTCAGCTTCCCAATATTCCATGAAAAATGATAAACAGAATGGGGCTAGGCTAATAAAGCAAGTATGAATAGATGGTGTTTGATGCAAAGCAGAAATAGAGGGATGCAGAAAGAATTGATGTAGTCAAAGCAAAAAGCCAGAGAGATGGAGATCGCAACAGTGTTTTGAATAAGTAGATGTGGGTAAGACTGTATTTGTCAAGTCCAGCTGTTCTCCAAACCAGCCAAATGCTGGAAGAGAGCATTCACGCACCCTATGGGAAGGGCAGAGTCAGTTGGCCAGTGAAATCACCAACACACAGCCAAGAATGTGGAAACATCTCCCAGCGTGCTCCACAGGCAGCAGGCTGGGAATATCAGTTCCAGAAGACTTCTTGTTCTAGGCCCTCCTCCTGCTTGTTTCTACCTACTTATTTTTCCCTGGGAGTCTGTAGCTCCTCTTCAGTGATGTGGAGGCCACCTTCAGGTCAGGGGAACTGAGCTGCAGCTGGATTTTCTGCTCAGCAATAGCAGGTGCTCACCACTCCTTGGGGACCAGCTTCCAGTGTTTTGGAGAAGTGAAAGTGAATTAGCTTCTGAGTGGGGATACTGTTGCACCAGATGATAGTTAAGGCAGAAGGGCCCTCCACCTCCTCCCTAGGGCCTTGCAGGTTACTACAGTATATGGTCTTTTGAGCCTGCAGGGTTCTGGTATCATTAGCACTCCCTGAAGCATTAAAATGCACAGTACCTCCTGGCAAAGGTGGCCCAGTGTCCAACATGGAAAGCACCTGCTCTCCCCTCTTTGGTATAGTGGATCCTATACAGGATCCCATGGAAGGGCACTGTGAAAATCCTGACTACCTCCACTCACCCACCCACTGCCAACTGGTTAGTGACCTTGCCATGAAGATTATACATGGCAGAAGCCAGAGGCTCAGCACCCCATGGGGAAGATATAGGAGCATGATTTTCCCCAATGTTTAAGAGGAAGCATCAAGGCGATGCTGGAGGAGGGATGCACTAACCTTGTCGTAAGGTCTTTGAACTAGATGTAGACTCTTCTGCACCCCCTCCCCAATCCCTTTCATCACTTCTAGGGTAGCAGACTCTTTGACAAGGAAGAGCACCATCTTGCCACACCATCCCTCCCTTGCAAGCAGACATATTTTGAGTTTACTAGTTGTCTAGTTCTGTTCCACAAGTTTGTCCATGCAAAAATTTTTGCATGAATACTTGCTAACTTTACTGCATTTTATTTTCCAGCTATTAGAAACAACTACATGCTGACCTTTGGCAACAGTTCCCGAAAAGCTTACCAGAAACAAAAGCAACAAGCTCATGCATTTTGAAAGATGCTTTAATTGTCTGTACATCAGTGGGCATGAAGTTGTCATGGAACAGCAAAAGATTCACAATACAGACAAACAAAAACAAAAAGTTTTGAATGGAAAGAGTTCATACAGCTTTAGACATAATATACAGGAATTCCTACATTGCTACTGCATAAATTTTATGCTGCCTCTTCCTCAGCTTCTTCCTCAAACTCCCCTTCTTCCTCCGCTGTAGCATCCTGATACTGCTGATACTCAGATACCAAGTCATTCATATTGCTCTCAGCCTCAGTGAACTCCATCTCATCCATGCCCTCCCCAGTATACCAATGCAAGAAAGCCTTTCGGCGAAACATAGCAGTAAATTGCTCAGAAATACGCTTAAATAATTCTTGGATAGCTGTACTGTTACCAATGAATGTAGCAGACATTTTCAGGCCACGGGGTGGGATGTCACAAACAGCTGTTTTAACATTATTGGGAATCCACTCAACAAAGTAGCTGCTGTTCTTGTTTTGTACATTAAGCATTTGTTCATCCACCTCTTTCATTGACATGCGGCCTCTGAAAACAGCAGCTACAGTGAGGTAGCGGCCATGACGTGGGTCACATGCCGCCATCATGTTCTTTGCATCAAACATCTGCTGTGTGAGTTCTGGCACAGTTAGAGCCCGATACTGCTGGCTCCCACGGCTGGTGAGTGGGGCAAAACCAGGCATGAAGAAGTGCAAACGAGGGAAAGGAACCATATTAACTGCAAGTTTACGCAAGTCAGCATTAAGCTGGCCTGGAAAACGTAGGCAAGTGGTCACTCCACTCATGGTTGCTGACACCAAATGGTTCAGATCACCATATGTTGGAGTAGTTAGCTTCAGTGTTCTGAAACAGATGTCATATAGTGCTTCATTATCAATGCAATAGGTTTCATCTGTATTTTCTACAAGCTGGTGTACAGAAAGTGTGGCATTATAAGGCTCTACTACAGTGTCCGATACTTTAGGTGAAGGTACAACACTAAAAGTGTTCATGATCCTGTCTGGATATTCTTCACGGATCTTGCTGATTAAGAGGGTGCCCATACCAGAGCCAGTGCCTCCACCAAGGGAGTGTGTAAGCTGAAAACCCTGTAGGCAGTCACAGCTTTCTGCCTCTTTTCTTACAACATCTAGTACAGAGTCAACCAGTTCAGCACCTTCAGTGTAGTGGCCTTTTGCCCAGTTGTTTCCTGCTCCACTCTGACCTGGAAGAAAACCATTTTTACATTACATTACAGGCACTGCTGATGTTGTGGGTTTGGATGGGGTTTTGTTTTTTTTTAAAATGGAGTGCTTGAGAATGAATTTCCCGGTAGTGTGAGAATATTTAAGAAGTATTATTCTTTAATTACTTTGTAAAGAACAAGTTTCAATATTAATATTTAAAAAGAAATGACTGCACCTGAAGCCAAGTCTGGCAAAAAGACAGCAGCTCATGAATTTAAAAAAAAGTTCTAATTCCAGATTATTCTACAAGAAATAATGTGAGGATTCAACATGAAAAATCTGTTAAAAACAGTGGTACTCAACATATGGCGCACAGGGTCCAGACATTTAATGGTGAGAGAGAAGTAGATATATTAAATGCTGCTCTCCCGTTGCCAAGTTGTGGCCCTGCATGCTAGATCACCGATGGGACTTGCACACAGCACGTGGCTTTCTGTAGTGACCCCTTACCATTCCTCTAAAGGGCCAGAAGGTTGAACACCAACTACCAAGTTCACACAACGCCCCCTTGGGTCAACTCAAAGTTGCAGTGATTACACTGCAACAGAATCTGGATACATTGTAAGCATGTTGACAAGGAATTCATTCCCTGTCCCTGTCCCACCCAAAACACCTGTGACCACTTCAAACAGAGCTGAGCCTTAAGTGAAACTTATCCTGCTCCAAATGAAGTGCCCTACAGCCAGGATAAAGCTCACCACAGACAAGGCAAGCTATCCCGCTGTGCCGCACCACCCCCCACTTCCTGCCCTATCCCAGACAAACCCTGTGACACCCACCGAAAACAAAGTTGTCAGGCCGGAATATTTGCCCAAAAGGCCCAGAGCGCACAGAGTCCATGGTGCCCGGCTCCAAGTCCACGAGCACTGCACGGGGAACATACTTGCCACCTAGAAAACAGGGAGGGAGAGTGAGGCCGGAAGTCGGGGCGGGCGGGCAGGGGGGGTAGGAGGAGCGGGGGC